GTTTAGTTGTGGACGTCGCTTCACTGGCCCAAGTTGGTATTGTGATCATTGCGCTCTTCCCAGCTGAGGCAGTCGGTTGCCGGCCATTGGACGGCCGCTCACCGTAGCTCACGGCAGCTCACGCTGGCTGCCAGCCACTCATGGTAGCTCACTGCAGCCCCACTGCAGCCTACGCCATTGCCGGCAATTCATGGCAGCCGAGCTTCAGGTCGAGCTGTAGTTCACCATCTTAGCTGTAGAGGGCAGCGTCACTGGTCCATGTGGGATCTGAACTGGCGGCCCTGCTGCTCAGAGCTCGTGCTCCCAAGCCAACTGTTAACCAACAAACCACTCAGCCGGCCCACTTAGTTTTATTTTTAAGTCCAAAGAAATAATGGTATGTTTGTACATTAGTAATAGTCTAGTAAAGAACAAAAAATTGATATAAGAGAAAGAGGAAAGACTTGCAGGAGCAATATCCTTGAAAATAGGCAAGTGAGTGTGGTATCTAGCAAGCAAGTTGAGGGATTAGCTTTTTAAAACAATCAAGGATAATTCATTTTTAGTTACAGATGGGAAGGCAGATTGTGTGAGTACAAATGACTAGGTGAGTGCAGGAAACTTTTTTTATTACTTGTATTTTTTTCAGTGAAGTAGGAAGCAAGCTCATCAGTGGGGAGGAAAGATGGTGCTGAGCATTTCAGGAAAAAGAAGGTGTTGGTGATCTAAAGTGTGAGTGAAGGGACCAAGGATGTATATAATGTCCTGTAAGCAATACAGAACTACTGGGTTTTACAACCAGTTTTTCTTGAGTTAATATATCCATAAAAGTGAATTTCATCAGTAAGATGATGTGTCACTGAAGAGTTTCCCTAAGAAATAGTTTAATAGTTCCATTGTAAAATGACTATTTCTCTTTGTTCTTAAGATGGTATCGGGCCCCTGAGTTACTATTTGGAGCTAGAATGTATGGTGTAGGTGTGGACATGTGGGCTGTTGGCTGTATATTAGCAGAGTTGCTTCTAAGGGTAAGTCTTGAATTGCTGTGCATACTTCAATATTATTGTTATAGTTACTTGTTTTTATAATTCGTGTAAGAATTATCTTCCCATAGAGGAGCACCATTCTTTTTGTTTTAAGATTTTATTGGGGAATTGGGGGAGGGGAACAGCCCTGGGGAATCGGGGGAAGGGGAACAGACAAGTTGCTGTCCTTTTGTTCTTCAGTCTAGTTGTGTAGGAAGGAGCACCATTCTTAACAAGAAGAAGCCTGCAAACAGATCAGTTAAAAGAAAAAAAACCTACCCGTAATGCAACCTTTTTATTAATGCTAATGTGAGATGAAAACATCTCCTATTTAGGACAATAAAGGCTTTATTATTGATCATTTCTATGTTCTGAAATATAACTATACTAAAACCTTCATTGGGTTATAATATGGTAATACCTCTACAGTAACTAAATGTGTTTGGATGAGCTTTTGTACTCCTGGGAGTTCTTTTGTGTGGGGCTGTTTAAATGTATACTTTAAGAGCTATGTAATACTGACCACTGTAGCTGCAACTCTGTGTAACTTTAAATTTGGTGTTACAGGATCATTTTAGTTCTGTTCAAGCAGAGCAGACATGGTGGCCCTATACCATCTCTCTCACTGAGACTGTGTTACAATAAAACATCTTCTCCGTGCCCTCATTGGAGAGAGAGATGCTGACTTGGAAACTTTAACTATAAAGTTTAGGTTAGCCCTTCTGACTGACGAAGGGTAAGGAATACTGGGGAATCCTTATGAAGCTGAGTTTTTTTCTCCTACATTCCAGATTCCAGCCTCTCCTCAAGCCATGTGTATGTAAAGAAATCTGAACCTAAGGCCCACAAATGTAGCTATTTATTTCCTTGAACATAGAAAATAGCTTCAGAGAGAAAAGTTACCTTCTTAAACACCCTTTTTAATTTAGTGTAAGTTCTGCACATCATTTTAACAAGCTCATCCCTCTGGGTGCTTATGGAAGAAACCCTCACATTTAGACTTGAAGATGACCTAGTAATCCCTGTGTTAGTATGGGGTCCTGTGAATCAGCTGGCATGGCAATTCTGCTACTCAAGAACACTCGAGTTTACCACAAGTTCACATTTGAGAATCCATAGTAATATGTGGATGCTACATGAATATTGTACAGTTGTGGTAAATAAATGTGCACGACCCAGTAGCCCATATTTTATGTATAACAAGTGAAAATCAGTAAGATTATTAGCTGTTAAGAGTGAGGTTGTAGAAGAGCTGCCATAAGTGTATATATGCTATACATGTTCTTAAATGTAGCCATTCAAATTACTAAATGGAAATTAGAAATAGTTATTCATCCCTAGGGAAAAAATAATAGTCTATTTTGGCTTACATACTGGACCCAGTACCTGCTCGGTGGATTTCGTAGTCGTCACTGCACTGATACTTAATACAATGAAGACATTTTAAAAAAAATGTTTTAAGACATTTTCAAATACAGCCATAATTATATCTCAAGGGTTTTTAAGATGGCAGGGCAAAAATCTCTCCCCTCAGAAATGACCTCTTAAAAAACACACAATTGCAATCTTTGAAACTAGGATATGCCTGTAACTATGCTAGAAGATATGAAGCCAGACATGAAGAATGATAAAAGTGTACAGAAAAGGATGCCAACTAGAGGCAAATTTGGTTTGGCATAATTTCTTATCAGTTTACTAATTTTTAACTTGTAATTATCCTCTTTTAAAATTTTCCAGTATACCTCTTCAAAGAAAGAATTTGCTAAGAAATTGTTTAAGATTAGATATAGATGTGTTCTCTTACCTCCCATCTTTGGACCTGCCCTGTTGCTAAAGTAGTTTTCTTCCATCTTAGACTTCTCCTCTGGCTAACTCTTTATCCTTCAGCTTTCACTGCTCCTTCCTCTAGGAAGCCTTCCCTGACCTGTGTGGAGTGGGTTAGGTGCTGTTTTAGTGTGAGCAAGGATCCTGTATTCTCACTGAATGCATCATTGTGTAAATGCCCTTTTACTTAAATCACCATTGTTCACATCTATCCCTGGGGGAGAGAGGGGACTATCTTGTTCCGTCATTTGAATGCCTAGGGCTTAGCACAGTGCTTATTACATGGTAAGTGTTTATTAAAGATTTGGGGAGTGAATAAAATGGTCAGTGTTGTGCTGTTGGCTAGGTTAGCAATGGCAGGATCTAATGCCACATCAGATTACATTTTAATTTTTGTTACAGTTTAGTTTTTCTTACTAAATTTATAGGTTTATTTGCATAACAACTATCACAAACTTCCTTAAAATATCTGCCTCTCACTTTCTTTCAGGTTCCTTTTCTGCCAGGAGATTCAGACCTTGATCAACTAACTAGAATATTTGAAACTTTGGGCACACCAACTGAGGAACAGTGGCCTGTATGCCTTTATACATTTTCTTTGAAATTTAGTTAGGATTCTGTATAGTGTTGTCATGTAAATATTACTTAAAGAAATGTATTCATTGTCTTAATTTACTAGTAATATTCATTACAAAACTTATACAAAGTAAAATTTAAACTGTGATACACCATCCAGCTTCCTATATACAATAGCCCTTCCCTCATCCCAGTAATTCTCATCCCAGAGTTAATCACTATTAATTTGGTATAAAGCCTTGCTGTGAAGATATACACACAAACACATACATATATAGAGTTGCATTTTCTGTCTCATTATTTAACAAAACTGGGATCACACCATATAATTTTTTTGGCAACCAAAATACTCTTTTTACTCAGTATTTATTACTGACCTTTTCCTTTTTAATAGCTGCGTATTTCATTTTCATGTTAGTTTATCAACATTGTCTTGATGGGTTTAGGTTTATTTATAGAATTTTCACTAACATAACTAAGATGGTTCAGTATTATTTTTTTATCCATTGTCTACAAAAAAGAAATATTAAGTCTGGTAAAATTGACAGTTTAAGTTGCTAAATTTTATATATATGTTTAGTAAAATAGTCTCACTTGTTTATGCATAAATTAAAATTTAGGCCTTTTTATTTTCCATCCTATCTCTTGGGTAATAAATAAGTACTAGAAAAGAGAAATTTTAATCAGACTCTTTATCTTCTTTTAAAACTGCAGAAAAATGATCTGAATCTGAAATTAAGTGTAAGAAGTTTCTTATGTGCTATTACTTCCTCAAGTTTCTAACTGAAAGTTTGGTATGTGTTTTAACTGTAAAACATGCCCTAGTAGCTATTATTTATTGATAACATTTATTGGTAGCTGTCACCCTTTTTGAGTTTATCTTGTATTAGGTGTAAGACTTACGTCAGGGCTTTTTTTTTTTTTTTTTTTTTTTGCCTGTGTGTGTCCAGTTGCTCCCACACCAGTTGTTGAAAAGACTGTCTTTCCAGTGAACACTTTGCACCTTTGTCAAAAATCAGTTGGGCATATTTGTGTAGATCTGTTTCTGGGTTCTCTCTCGTGTTCCATTGATCTATATCTATTCCTCTGCCAATATCATAGTTTTAATTAAAGTAGCTATATATTAAGTCTTGAAATCACGTAGACTAATTTCTCTCACTTTTGTTCTTTTTCAGTTATTTTAACTTTTTAGTTCCTCTGCCTTCTGTATAAATTTTAGAATAATCTATGTAATAATTTTGCCAGAATTTAGATAAGAATTGCGTTAAACCTGTATATAAATTAGAGGAGAATTGACATCTTTACAGTGACGAATCTGCCAACCCATGAACAAGATAGGATAGCTCTCACCATTTATTTAGAACTTTGATTGATTTCATCAGTGTTATGTAGCTTTCAGTATATGAGTCCTACACATGTTTTGTTAGATTTTCACCTAAGTATTTCATTGTTTTTGAGTGATTCTAAATGGCATTTAAAAAATTTCAGTATCCACGTGTTCATTGCTAATATAGAGCTACAATTGATTTTTGTATGTTTATTTTATATCCTGCAACCTTGCTTTGCTTACTAATTCTAGCAGTTTTTAAATAGATTTCTTGGGATTTTCTACAAAGATCATTATACCTATATGACAGTTTTATTTCTTCATTTGATATCTATATGCCTTTCAACCCTTAAGTTTAAATTATAAAAATGTTTTTACAGGACATGTGTAGTCTTCCAGATTTCGTGACATTTAAGAGTTTCCCTGCAATCCCGTTACAACACATCTTCATTGCAGCAGGAGATGACTTATTAGCTCTCATACAAGGCTTATTCCTATTTAATCCGTGTACTCGAATTACAGCTTCACAGGTATTTAAGCATATCTTTCTCATATTAGAAAATATGAGGATAATCTTAACTATAGCACTGATAAAATAAAAACAGAATTTCGTAAGATTTTCTAATATTCTTTAAATACTGGAAAGATGTGCTTTTGTTTTGTTTTAAGGAATAGCAGATTTTTTTCCCCCAAACTATAAGCACTATTCAGACTGGTATTAAATTACACCATGAACACACAACTACAGGAGACGTTACTATGCTTAGGAATAGATAGATAGATAGATAGATAGATAGATAGATAGATAGATAGGTAGGTAGATATAGATATGCATATTAATTGCATAATTAATTGGCTTTCAAGTAGTCAACCTAGATTAAAAAAAAAACATAAGGTTTGTATATGTTAAGACACTGGTATATTTCAATTAAACAATTATGTATTAATTTAAATCTTGTGCCAAGCCTAATGCCAAAAGTGTTTTATTTTGTTTCCCATAAAATACAATCCAGATATGTACACTGGTCACTGTCAGTCATAAGTGATAATGGAGAGAAAAATGGTATAGTCTGATACAATTGTGTGCTTACAAGAGATTGAAAAATAATCTGTTGGGTTGTCGGAAAAGTCATGACGTATTTTTTCTATGTTTTTCATTGCAAAAATGCGTCATCACTTTTTCAACAACCCAATAAATACAACAAACTCTGAAACTGACAGTTGTTTAAGGGAAATAACAATCAAACTCAAGAAAAATTTGAAAGACCCAGAGTACCTGCTTTTATAAAAGAAGGGAGAAATGTTATCTAACACAAAAATATAAGCCCTATAGATTTAGGGAAAAAAAATTTTGTTTGTTTTAAAAACAAGCACACACACACAAAAAAGGGTAGTCACACACACCTAAATTCAGGGCAGAGGGCCAGCCGAGTGGCTCAGTTGGCTAAGAGTGCAAGCTCTGAGCAACAAGGTTGCCAGTTCGATTCCCACATGGGTCAGTGAACTGCGCCTGAGCTGAGCTGCCACTGAGCTACTAACAGGTGGCAGGATGGCTCAGCTCCTAACAACAAGGTTGCCAGTTTGACTCCTGCATGGGATGGTGGGCTACGCCCACCCGCATCTAACATTGAACACAGCACCTTGAGCTGAGTGGCCATGAGCTGCCAACGGGGGGCCGGATGGCGACTGGACTTGGAGCTGAGCTAGCTGCACCCTCCACAACTAAGATTGAAGGACAACAACTTAGCTGTTCCCCTTCTTCAATTCCCCAATAAAATCTTAAAAACAAATCGGGGCAGAGATATGTAAAAATGCAACACAGTGCAATAATGTGGCTTCATAAAGAAAGACTGATTAAAATAAAAAGGCAAGTCTTTGGACCTAACAAAATATGTTAATACACAATATATCAAGGATACAAGGTGGATTTTTTTCACTTACACATTTATTATAGACTGCTAAATCACTGTTCAACGCGTTTACTTCTATAAGCATTATCTTGTTAGCAATACATGCTACACTAATACATACCTGCTAGATATTTTACTATTAGAATTATTCTTCTAATTTCAGACAAGGAATTTGTTACCTTTTCGTGTGTGTGTGTGTGTGTGTGTGTGTGTGTGTGTGTTACCTCCATCATAAGAAACTTGGGACCAGGTCAAATTATCCAGAAAGTTGTTTTCATTAATAGTATAGTAAAACTCAAAACTTAACAGAAAGATAGTAGTTGTGATAACTGATTTGGGTTGTATTTTGATGGGATGAATTTTTTTAAATGGGTTTTGGTTCTGAAAGTTGGAATGAGTTAAATCTGTATGTAGCTCAGAGTTAGCTTAATTTACTTAGGGAACTGCTAGGATTTGGAAGTAATACTTTACAAATGAAACGCCTTTGAATTAAGGAATCTCTTAAGTCATACTTCAAATAATATGTTAGGGGGGAAATTCCTGAAGAGTATAGGGACTTGCTTTTATTCCTAAAAGGATTATCCAAAAGGAAATATCTTAAATTATTGTGGCTATTAAACAGCACTATGTTGCAAGGAAAGTACAAACTTGATAATATCATTTGTCATTTAGAATAAAACTAGTATTTTTATTGGCATTTTGGACTGAATTAAACTGAGAATCTTATACCATTGGACTGATAGTAAATAGAAATGACGTTGGGCAGTTCCTTCCAAGTAAAATGTCTGTTAATTTGGAGTGGATTATTGGATTTTAATCTCTTGTTTCCAACCTATTGTATCTTTTTAAAAGTTTTATTTTTAATAATTTATGTTTACATGATTTGAAATTGGAATACATATAGATGTTGTGACAGATAAACTTGGAAGTTCTTTAAGCAAGTTTCTCTATTTTTTCTGGGGGGAGCAGGGGTATTCACATAGTATTTTTAATGTTCCCAATAATTTCGGAGGTTAGATTTTCTTAAACTCAGTTCAGCTATTCACTTAGTTTACTTTCTTTGGAATCTTTTCTTTTAAAGGCTTTGAAAACTAAATATTTCAGTAATCGGCCAGGACCAACACCTGGATGTCAGCTGCCAAGACCAAATTGTCCAGTGGAAACTTTAAAGGAGCAGACAAATCCAACTCTGGCGACAAAACGGAAGAGAACAGAGCCCTTGGAACAAGGTAAAACTCTCATTCTTATAGAAAAAAAATGAATTCAGAAAACTCCAAATGGCTAACGTGTGACTAGTTACTGAAGGACAGCTAAGAAATGTAGATTGTGAGCTACTTTTTATAAGTTTAAATTGTATAAAGTAGATAGACTGTGGTATTTTAATTTTAGCTTTATTTGCTAAAAGCATTGAGAATACTTACATCATACTCTTTAAAAGGACAATGGCACTTTTGAGTATACCTCAGAGTTACTACAACTATCAATGTGTAACTTAGTCTCTTCATAAATTCCCATTGGTACACTGTATGCTTAACGTTGAACAAGTGCTATTGGGAAATCAAAATAAGTAAAGTAAATGTAATTGGAATGACTGGTTAAAATTGCCATAGATTAAATGTGAACAACCTAATTTTTTTTTTTTTTTTTTTTTTTTACCCAGGAGGATTACCCAAGAAGCTAATTTTTTAGTAACAGATAACACTGGACAGTATTTTACTACTGAATGAAATAGTCAAAAAGGCAAATAATTAAAAAATAGTAAACTTAAGTAAATGCTGTAGAAGGAATTTGTAAATATTCTACACATGTAAAATATATAAAACAGTTATTTTTATTAAATGTATTTTAAAACAAACTTAATTCTGATTTTTCTAATTAGAGTGCAAAAGTAACATAAGTTTGATACTCTGAAATGTAGAATTGAGAATGCATTAAGGAAATCTTAATAAAAATAATTATCAGTTATTTTGATTATCTGGCCCATATAGCATCACAAATTTGCAATAGCAGGAGTAGTATTTAAAAACAGAAAAATAATAGTAGTAGGCCGGCCGAGTGGTGCGTTGGTTAAGAACTGGCTTGGGACGCCATAGAGCCCCGGTTCGGATCCCACATATGAGGGCCAGTGACACTGCCCTCTACAGCTAAGATGCTGAACAACAGCTCAATCTGGAGCTGGGCTGCCATGAGTCGCGCATCGGCGTGGGTTGCAGCCCCTGCTGCAGTGGGTTGCCATGGGCTACCGTGTGTAGCCAGCAGCCGCAGTGAGTGGCCGTCCAGAAGCTGGCGACTGATCTGCCTTGCCCGGGAAGAGCGCAATGATGGTGCCAACTTGGGCCAGTGAAGCAACGTCCTCCACAACTAGACTGAAGAACAAAACGACAGCAACTTGTCTGTTCCCCTTCCCCCAATTCCCCAGCGCTTTCCCATCCCCCAATTCCCCAATAAAATCTTTAAAAATAAAAAGAAGAAAAACAGTAGTAGTAATGTAGCAAATACATACTACCCAGGCTAATAATTATTAATATATAAATAGGAAAAAAAGAAAAAATTACAGATAAAATTGAGGTCTCTGTCATTCCATCCTGTTTCTTCCTTTTCACCCTCCCCAAAAGGGAATGACTCTCAGGAAATGAGTGTGTCCTCCCATGGTTTTGTACTATTTTATAAGAATGCATACAGTAATACACAGCATTGTTTTGGGTCTCAAAATTTTATGAGTGATAGACTATATGTCTCATACTGCAATTTTTTTTAATCAAAATTTAAATTCCTTCCATGTTACTATATGTTAATCTAGTGTGTTTTAACTGCCATGTAATTGTGTGTGTGTGTGTGTGTGTGTGTGTGTGTGTGGAGAGAGAGAGAAAGAGAATGTATACAATACTACTTACCCATGCTCTTATTTAGGGACTGTTATTTTTCCTTTGCTGTATAAAATTTACCATAAATGTAGCAGCTTAACACAAATTTATTAGCTCACAGTTCTATAGGTCAGTTATCTGGCATGGCTTAACTATATTTCTTGTATAGGCCAAAATCAAGGTGTCAGTCAAACTGGGCTCTTATCTGGGGTTCCAGGGAAGAATCTGCTTCCAAGCTCATGCTATTTCAATGCATGTGTCTCCTGTCCTTCCTAGTTGACAGCCAGGGGCCTCTCTCAAGGCAGTCCATGTGCCTTGTCACATGGCACTCTCCATCTTCAAGCCAGCAACGATTTCTAAAGTCTGCCTGGCTTCCTCATCTGCTAGCGAGAGAAATATCTCTGCTTTTTAAAAAAAAGTGGGGGCTCACCTGATTGGGTTATCTATATATTAAGGTCCACTCACTTGGACTTGACATACATTTTAAAAGTCTCTTGATGGCGGTACCTAGATCATCCCTAGATGGGAATCTTGAGGACCATCTTCAGAATTCTGCCACATGGACTTTTAGGTTATTTTCATTCTTTCACAGTTATTAATAAAGGAATGATTATATGCATATGCATTTTTAATTAGTGTTGATATTGCCATATTTCTCCAAAGTAGCTGTATCAATTTACACTCCTAGTAGCTGTTCAATAGCTCTTACAAATGAAGAAGCTCCTTACCCTGCAGCATATACAAAAATTAACACAAAGTAGATCAAAGACCTAAAACTATAAAAACTCTTAGAAGAAAGCATAAAGGAAAACCTTCATGGCATTAGATTTAACAAGGACTTCCTGCATCTGACCCCAAAAGCACAGGCAATAAAAGTAAAAAATAGATAAATGGGACTACATCATAATTAAAGACTTGTATGCATCATGAGGGCCAGTGACACTGCCCTCTACAGCTAAGATGCTAAACAACAGCCCAACCTGGAGCTGGGCTGCCGTGAGTCGCTGGCGACGGCGTAGGCTGCAGCCCCTGTGGCAGTGGGTTGCCATGGGCTACTGTATGTGGCCAGCAGCCAGCATGAGCGGCCAGCAGCCGCTGTGAGCGGCCTCCAGAGGCTGGCGACTGATCTGCCTCACCCAGGAAAAGCGCAATGATGGTGCCAACTTGGGCCAGTGAAGCAACGACCTCCACAACTAGACTGAAGAACAAAAAAGGACAGCAACTTGTCTGTTCCCCTTCCCCCAATTCCCCAGCGCTTTCCCATCCCCCAATTCCCCAATAAAATCTTAAAAAAAAAACAAAAAAAGCTTGTATGCATCAAAGGACATATCAACGAGTGAAAAGATAACCTATGAAATGGGGAAGAATATTTGAAAATGATATGTCATATAAGGGGTTAATATCCAGAATATATAAAGAAATCTCAGCAATCTTTAAAAAATCCAATAAAAAAATGGGCAAAGAAATTGAATACACATTTCACCAAAGATGATATAGAATGGCAAATATATGAAAAAGATGCTGAATATCAGTAATCATTGGGGAAATGTAAGTCAAAACCACAGTGAGATATCACCTCATACCTATTAGGAGGGCTACTATAAAAAAAACAAAATAAGTGTTGGTGAGGATGTGGAGAAATTGGGACCCTTATGCCCTGTTGGTGAGAAAGTAAAATGGTACAACCGCTATGGAAAACTGTTTCCTCAAGTAATTAAAAATATAATTATTACATCAAGCAATTTTCACTGATGAGTATATACTCAAAAAAAATTGAATACAGGGTCTTGAATATATACATTCATCAACACTGTATGAAAGTATGTTTCACCTCAGCATCTCCAGCACTCACATAATCTTTGTGATCTTTCGCTAATATCTCATTATAAGTTGTTTCATTGATTACTGTGGCCGAATATTTCTTCATGTTTGCTAACCACATGGAATCCGTCTTTTATGAACTGTTGATTCAGATTCTTTGTCCATCTATCAGAGTATTACAAATTTTATCAATTTATATGAATTTGTTTTATATATAAACATACACATTAAAAAGAACCTTTTCAGTTTTTTAAATTTTTTTACACTTCCAATTTTGGTATTTTTAGATAATCCCTTTTATTTTATATGAAATTATTATATATACTCGATCTGTGTATGGTCGTTATCCTATTGCATTGACCTGCTGGTATCACACTACTTTAAATAATGTAGCTTATGTTATCAGGACAGTACATTTTAATATGTGGTAACAATAGTTCATCATTTCTCCTTTTTCAAAATTTACTTGCTAAGTTTTCAGCTTTTCTTATTATTTACTAATGCCAACTAAATGCTTTTTTTTTTCTAAATGCTCTCCTTTTAACACAACTATAAATGGTTTATATTATTACCTTATTACCCTATTTTTATTTATTTAAGTAGTATTCAGTGTAGCCATATATCTTTTCTTTTCACTAGAGATCATAATTAAATGTTTTATTATAATTGCTGACAATTGACATAATTGTAATGCTATAATATAGCACTATTCCCAAAAAGTATTAAAAATTATTACTTATATAATATTTATAGAAAGAGCAAATAAAATGGCCTAAAATTCAGCATCAAAACCAAGAAGTTAATTGGTCCGAGTATCAGAATTCTGTGTAGATTTGGCTATAAAATGTCACCACTCTGACGAAAGAAGAAGCTATGAAAGTAATAACTAGCTGCGACTTTGAATATACTTTTGCCAAAGTCCCACCACAATTAACTTTTTATTGAAGTTAACTTAAAATTATTTTTAAACTTTTATGTGGAAAATGAAAACAAAAACAAAACAAATGTATTTCAAAAAATTGACATTCACTCACTCCTAGGCATTGTTATTTCTTAGAGCTCTTAATTTACATTACATTGTTGCATGAGCCAATCAGAAACCACTATTTGTTTTTAAGATGTTGATAAACAACGAAAATTTCATAAAATAGAGTAATTTAATTTATAAATAGAATACATCAAAACAGAATACTAATAAATTTCTTGTAGAAAGCATTTGAGTATTTAAGCTGCCTCCTAAAATTTAGAAATACCCAGAAAACACAACTTCTGAAGATGCAGCAACATTTACACAATCTTTTTTCAAAGTCTCTTGATATAAACAGCTCTCAGTTCAAATTTCAACTGGTTTGTCTTCAAAACATGATAGTTGATGGCAAAGAATGAGATCTTTTCAGAGTTCTTCTGAAGTTTTGAATTGTATGAAGGTGCTGGATGGAACAAATGCAGCCCACAGAATTAAAAATTTGAACATTTGAATGTACAGGATCACGCAAAGCAGAGAATTCTGAAGTTTTCTGCCAGGTATTTTTTAATGGAAACTTGTCTTTCATAGGATTTTTTTCTTTATTTTCTTTTGAGTCTTTGTCTTCCAATGCCCGAGCAAGCATGTAACTAACTTTTCTCTGATGAGCCAAAGCCTCTTCTTTATCATTCAGCTGCATGCACAGAAATTAAAAATGTACCAGTCAGTCAATAAGTCACAGAATATAGAGCTATAGTCAGGGGTATTTTATCAGAATGTTCGATATTCAGTCTGTCTGGTCAATATAAATAAACTAATTAGGTGTCCACTGATATCAAGCGTGATTCTACATGTTATTGAGGATTTTTTTTAAAGGAAGAACAGAAAACATTGCTTCTGTTGAAAATTTTATTGTCAACTGAAGAGGGGAAAAAATATGTTGTGTATATGTGTATAAAGTCAGCATGTACTTATCTCTGTAAAAGAATGGAAGTTATATATGCAATTGTTTATATATTTACATGCAAACAAATAACGAACACTCTTCTATAGATAAGTATGTTCATATAATATGAGTCTAGTCATCTATGAAATGGGGCTAACAGGACAGATTTCAGGCTTGTAATGATTCAAGGGCATAATGTTTGAGGGACTGCCTTCAGTACTTAAAATATTCTTGAATAAATAGAAGGTCTTGTCAGATGACAGAAATACCTGGAGTTAATTACAGGGAACTTCCTCTTTTCAGAGGTGGAGCTTTAAACTTACACAGGAAGAACATGGATGAGAGAAGCGGGAAGACCGTGCAGAGAGTTTAAGGAGATGAAGATTGTAACTCTGGAGGAGGGAAAAGGCATAAAAGGCAAAAGTAGAGCGGAGCTGAGTTATTAGGAAGCAGAAAGATGAGTGTAACCACAACCTCTAACAAGGCAAAGATACCAACCAGATCTATTAGCATCTTAAAGACTTCCTGAGGATTAGCCTGGTCTTCAGTCCTCTTCGAGCTGTTTTCTGAAGGAAGCATATCCAACAGTTTCCGCCCTAAGGTCTTCTTAGTCTTCTGTGATAGTGATCCTACAATTGAACATGAAAATCCAGCTGAGGCATAAAAAGACACTCACTGATGTAGTAGTTCCAGGAAGAGGTAAGTATGAACCAAGACTAATTCCTAAATCCGTCGGTTGTCCTCAGGAAACCTAGCACAAGAGAGTCAAGCAGCAGAGTGCCGCAGCCTTACAGCCCCATGGCAGACTGGAGAGGGTCACTGTGGGCAGCAGCAATGCTCTGCCACTCTGGCACACCACTCCTCGGCTCCCAACCATGGCTGCCCCGCGGGGGAGAATGCATCCCACGCTAGCAGATCATCTCAGCCTTCCAGAGGTCCAGGCCTGTATGTGCTATCTCCCCAATTTTTTTTCCCCTCTCTACAAGTTTATTCAACGCCAAAATCACTGCCAGTATGCTGTGATTATTTCCTCTTCAAAGTTTACTTTGAGGTTGCTGACCATCTCCACCAGTCGAGGGATTCCCCCCAACCAATCCAGTCTCGCTCCATTTATACTGACTTTAAAAACATTCCGGCTCAGGCTATATTATGCAAAAACGGGGGCACACAGATTATTTTTTCGCCACAAGCTCATTCAACACCAAATAATCACTCCAACTTTACTGAGGTGGTTGACCACGTCCGCGACCAAATCCGCCTCTAAACTGGAATTCGGTTGCGGAGCCAGCCCCGGCCTCGGCTTTCTTGTCGGCACCAGGAGGCACAGCACTCC